TTCTTCCCTTCCTTCCTCCTTTCCTTCCTCCCTTCCTTCCCTCACTTCCTTCCTCCCTTCCTTCCCTCGCTTCCTGCCTCCCTCTCTCCTTCTCTTCCTCCCTCCCTCTCTCTTTTCCTTCCTCCCTCCTTTCCTCCCTTCTTCCCTTCCTTCCTTCCTTCCCTTCCCTTTCCCTATCCTAGCTAGCATTTATCTAGTACTCTAAGGTTTGCAAAGCTCTTTCTTTATAAACATAATCTCATTTGGTCCATGCAAAACCCTGATAGGTAGGGGCTATTATGATCTTTATTTTACAGATGAGGAAACTGAGGCAAATAGAGGTTTAGTGACTTGCACAGGGTCACACAGTTAGTAAGGGTGTGTGGCAGGATCTGAACTCGGGTCTTCCTTACTTTTAGATGACAAGTCTAGTGCTCTATCCACTACACCAAATTGTCCCTCTTGTGGCCTGCTGTCGCTCTTATTAGGGTACAAGTCTTATTCCTGAGACTCCCTATTATGTGGTAAGCTTCTTGAGGGTGGGAAATGTATCTTATGTGTTATCGTATGCCAGCACAGAACCTTATACATAATTCCTGCTTAATCAACATTTATTGAATTAGAATGAATTAAATAGTTAGCAAAGGCTTGATGGGAGATGTGGAAGTGTTGTTGAGTCCTGAAGGCAGGTTAGGGTTTGGAGAGGTAGGGAACAGAAGGGAGGGCATTGCAGATGGGGAGATCCAGCGAAAGGAGAGTGTTAGAAGGAATTAGAACCCAGAGCTTAAGGTTCCTATTGGCTATGTCCAGGAGACCCTTTAAGGCTGGAGGGAGGTGGGCCTGATAATCTCTGAGGTCACTTTCAGCTCTGATATTCAATGCTCATAGAAACACAAAATCTCAGAGTTGGAAGGACCTCAAGGTCATTAGGTTTAGCCAGCACTGGACAACAATTCCCTTCGCAACCTACGAAACTGGTGTACTGTGTTCTAAGTGCCCTCCCTAACCCCATGTTGTGTGCTCTAAGACAAGAGGTCTTTACCTCACGTGTGTCATGGACGCCTTTGGTGGTCTGCTGTCATGTATCCCTTCCTTTCGTGATATTTTCAAATGCATACAAGAAAATACTTGAGATTACAAAGGAAACCAGTTACATTGAAGTACTTAAAAAAAGTTAACAAAAGAAAACATTACATTGAAATACTTATCAAAACATTTTTTAAAAAGTTCAAGTGGACCCCAGGTTCTAAACCCCTGTTCTAAGATCCCTTCCATCTCTGACATTTTATGATTCTACAAAGGACAATTGAAATGTTGCAAGCTGAGTCCAGACTTGGTGAATAATTTCTATGGTACAAGAATGACCATTGATGGTGGAAGACTGTCAAGGAAGTTTCCTTGGAGGAGAGAGGAGAGAAAAAGAAATGTTGGAGAGTGCTAGAAAAGTAATAGGTCAACAAGCAATTATTAAATGCCTACTATGTGCCAAGCATTGCTCTAAGTACTGAGATGGGATGGAAATTGACAGAAGTTAGGCCGGGGGATGTAGATTTCATTGGTTACCTGAGTGTTTCCCAAATGCAACCTGGTACGTGGTTGCAAAACTGTAGACAAGCCAAGATATAAGAAAGCATCATTCCCTTCCCATTGAGCCATTTCTATCCACAAACACAGCCAACCCCATTCTACCAGTGTTGTATGTGTGTCCATGCATCTCTTTTTGTACCTGCCTGTCCATCCATATATCTCTCCATAACCATCCTCTTCTTCTAAATCTGCTTCTCTATCCACATATGCTTCTGTATAGCTTCACATCTATTCATTTAGGTGTTTTCTAGTATTAGCTCTATGATTCTATGATCTAATGCCAGGCACATAGTAGGTGCTTAATAAAAGCTTAGTGATGGATTGATTGAAGGGATGATGTGCACACAGGGCACCTAGTCAGCAAATGTAATAGCTAGGACTTGTCTTAGGTCCTCTTACTCAAAGTATACTCTTTTCATTACATCATTGTGGGTATTTATACATTTATCTATTCAAATATCTATGTATTTACCCATTCATTATATGCATCTATCTATCTGTCTGTCTGTCTGTGTCTCTGTCTATCTCTGTCTCTCCTTCTGTCTCTGTGTCTCTCTGTCTCATCTACCTGTCTATCTAAATATCTAGATCTCCAGATATTCATCTAAGCATTGCATCTCTATATGAGTATGTCTATCAATCTATTTATCTGTATGCCTGCCCATCTCCCTGGACATCTATATGTCCAGTCCTGTGATTTCATTGCTGTAGGGCAGGGGTGGGGAACTGCAGCCTTGAGGCCACATGTGGCCCTCTAGGTCCTCAAGTACAGCCCTTTGACTGAATCCAAACTTCACAGAACAGATCCCCTTAATAAAAGGATTTGTTCTGTAAAACTTGGACTCAGTGAAAAGGCCACACCCAAGGATCAGGAAGGCCACATGTGGCTTCGAGGTTGCAGGTCCCCCACCCCTGGTGTAGGGAATTCTCAGTATGAGCTCACTTCCTCTACCAATGCTGAGTAGCACCTGTCTGGTAAATCATAGTCCTAGAGAGTTGCCTTGGGCACTGAGATGTTGAGTAAATTGCCCAGGGCTGCAGTCGATTTGTGTAAGAGGCAGGGCTTGAACCCGGATCTTTGTGACTCCAAGGGCAGTCCCTGTTCCCTTTGTCATGCTGCCTCTCCACAATGTGTCTCTGTGTGTAAATATTAAATCACCAATATGTGTCTATTTATCTAATTTTTCTACCTCCTTTCCCTTTTCCTTTTTCCCTCATTGATCTCTTCCCACTCTGTCTCACTTGATCTCTGCCTCTATCTTTCTCTGTCTCTCCTCCCACTCCTCATCCCCTCCTCCTCCCGTTTTCTTTCTTTCCCTTCACCTCCCCTCCTCTCTCCCCCTTCCTCTGTTCCTCCCTCTATTCTTCTTTTTTTTTTAAGAAAGCATTTATTTATTTATTTTTGGGAGACAATCGGGGTTGAGTGACTTACCCAGGGTCACACAGCTAGTAAGTGTCAAGTGTCTAAGGCCGAATTTGAACCCAGGTCCTCCTAACTCCAGGGCTATAGCTCTATCCACTGCACCACCCTTCCTCTTCCTCCTCCTCCTCCTCCTCCTCCTCCTCCTTCTTCTTCTCTCTCTTTCTTTCTCCCCTACCCTCCCCATTCAATCTATCTATCTAGGTCTCTGTCAAGTCAAAACAAATGCTCTGAGTACCAGTTTCCTCATTTGCAAAACAGGAACAAATAATAGTTGACACTTAGATAGTGCTTTGAGGTTTGAAAAGAGCCTTGCATATAGAATTCTATTTGATCCTTGCAACCATCCTGCCAGGTAAATCCTACAGTTACTATTATCCCTGTTTTGCAGATGACAAAACTAAAGGTGAGAGAAGTTAAGTGATTTGCCTGAGATCGTGTAACTAGGATTTGAACTCATATTCTCAGGGCTCAGTCGCCCCCCCTGCACCCCTACACACACACATACCACCACCGCCACCATCACCACCACCACCATGTTATCTTGTATTTACATTACATTTCGTACAGGCAAGAAAGCACTCTGTAAATTTCTTTTTTCTTTTCTTTTCTTTTTTTTTTTTTTGCAGGAGGGATGGGAAACAATGTAAATTTTATTTTTTATGATGACGACCAGTTAGGCTATAGATTAAGACAGAAGCCAAACTAGGACTTTTATACAAATAGAAGAAAAACAAAAACAGGAAAAATAATGATTAAGGAAAGACCCTGTTGAATGAGCCTCATGGATAAGTGTGATTCTGTTAGGGCATTCTTTCCTCTGCTGTGCCCATCTTCCTTCCCCCAGATCCTGGGCTGGAATCTGCCTTGTTGAATCTCTCTTCTTTTCAATGAAAGGAGGGCTGTTCCCAGAAGGGCTCCTCTGAGAAGCTATGTGAAAAGAGTGCTAGTTATAGCAACGATGGGAGGGGGCCGCCATCTACCCTGCCCCACGTGGTCCGAGTCACAGCTTTGCGTGGCTGGTCCTAATTCTGTTCCCTTTTGGGCCTTATTTTCCTCTTCTGTAAAATAAGGGGATTAGATTAGATGACCTTTAAGGTTCCTGCAGTCCCAACTTCTCTGGGCACATGTTTGATATGTCAGGTTTACTTTTAAAGGTAAATTTTACCCCATTACAATATTAAACTATTCTCATATGAGTTCTTCCTTTGTAAAATGAAGAGATTGTGAATTTAACTATCTGCTATGGGCAAAGCACTCTTCTCTGACGGAGAATGCTATGAGACATATAGGACCCTAACTTTAGATCTGGAGAAACTTGGAGGCCAAATCCCCTTATTTTTTTATTTTATTTTTTTACAGATGATGAAATTGAGTTCTAGAAAGATTATATAACGTGTCCAAGGTCACATAGGTAGAAAGCATCAGAGGCAGCATTTGAACCCAGGTCCTCTGTCTTCAGAAACCAAGATCTTCCTTCCTACCATACCCTATACCTGCAGGTTTAACAGGAGAAGAAGCAAAGAAATGTGATACGTGAGAGAGTGAGATAATAATATGGGCACAGTGCTGGGAGAAATATGATGAATGAAGTAGAGCAGGGGTGGGGAACCTGCCATATGTAGCCTCAGGGTCGCAGGTTCCGCACCCTTGAACTAGAGGAAGGAGAATTCAGGGAAAGTTTCATGGAGAAAGGAGCATCTGAGCTGGGTCTTGAAGGAAGGGAATTCAATGGATAGAAATAAGGGGTGAGGGCAAATCCACTTCAGTCATGGAGGACCACACGAACCGAGTCATAAAGAAGGAAAAAAACCCAAAACATGAAAATGGAGGTCAGTCCAATATGGTTGAAATGTAGAGAATCTATGAGAAAAAACTGGAAAAGAAGGTTGGAGCCAGGCTGTATTGATCTTTGAGTGCTTGGATCGGTAGCAAAGACTTTGGTCAGAAGGCAGCAGAGAGGCAGTGAAGGTTTGTGAGTACAGCTCAGACGCATCCACAGGGATGCCTTAGGGAGACAGCTCAGGGCTGTATGTGCCCGATGAATTTAAAGGGGAGAAACTGGAGGCAGGGAGATTCCATAAGAGTTTATTTTAAGTATCTACTCTGTTCTGGGAACTGGACTAGACTCTGTGGGAAATAGAAAGCTTAGCTAAGACGGTCCCTGTCCTCCTAAAGCCTGTCGTCTTATGATACTTAGAGCATTTTCTATATGCCAGGCTCCGTGGGAAGCAATGGGCATACAAAATCAAGCAACCAAGACCGTCCCTACCCTCAGGAAGCTTCCATTCTAATGAAAGAGCCTGACGCATAAAGCAGGATATGATGTTTTCAAAGATACTCTGATGTGACATATGGGGCAAAGTCAGTTAGAGGCCCTTGAGGTTCCACATTTTTCTTCAGTCTCCACAGTTTGTTGCTCATGATTAATAATAATAATGTGCATTTGATATAGACCTGTAAGGTTTGCAAGCACTTTGCATACATTAAATTATTTTGGCCTTACAGCAGCCATGCGTGATAGGTGCTGCATTATCTTCCCCATTTGACCAATGAGGAACCTGTTAAGTGCCAGCCATGTTCACCCAGCTCATAAGGGGTCTAAGGTGGTATTTTACCCCAAGTCTTCTTGACTCTTCTATCTACCAGACCTCTCTATCATCTGTTTGGCTGTTAACCCCTGGCCAGAACTCCATTCTGCAGCAAAAGGGAAGAGCAGAGGATGGAGTGGCTCTCGTTCTGGTCTTGCCTCTAACTAGTTTGTTGACCATGGCCAGGTCACCTTCCCAAGCAGGGCTCTCAGGTTGCTCATCTGTGAAACAATGGGGTCAGGCTAGGGGCTCCTGGAGGTCCCTTCCAGGCTCAGGCTAGGGGCTCCCGGAGGTCCCTTCCAGGGTCAGGCTGGGGGGTCCCAGAGGTCCCTTCCAGGCTCAGGCTGGGGGGTCCTGGAGGTCCCTTCCAGGCTCAGGCTGGGGACTCCCCGAGGTCCCTTTCAGGGTCAGGCTAGGGGGTCCCTGAGGTCCCTTCCAGGGTCAGGCTAGGGGGTCCCTGAGGTCCCTTCCAGGGTCAGGCTAGGGGGTCCCTGAGGTCCCTTCCAGGGTCAGGCTAGGGGGTCCCTGAGGTCCCTTCCAGGCTCAGGCTGGGGGGTCCCGGAGGTCCCTTCCAGGGCTAAAACTCTCTGCTTCTGACCCTTCCAGGTAGAACAGTAAACAAGCTTCAAGAGGTTCAGGTACCCCTTCTTGATCAGTTTTGGTGTCAAATCCTCTATGGAAGCATGTTCCTCATCCAGGAAGACATGATATGTGCCACTGACATAACCCATGGGAAGAGCCCGTGCCAGGTAAGTGCTGTTGGACTGAGCTGGCTCAGGAGAACAAGGACCAGGTTCAGCAGGACATTCAGGCCAGGTTGGCCGCTTAAGAAAAGGTGGGCAGGTATAGATATTTGGACAGACAGGTGTTAGAGTTCAGAAGTCAGGAAAAGACTCAGAGCAGCCCTGATGAGTGGGGTGGGTAAGATTTGATTCATGAGAATCATTGGGATTCATGAGACATAGTGAACAGACTGCTATACTTGGGGTCAGAAAGACCCGGATTCAAATCTTGCCTTTTTTACTCTGGGCTAACACCCAACTCTCTAGACTTCAGTTTCATCATCTGTAAAATGATGGGGAGTCTTTAACTTTAGAGGGGAAACCCACTCCAGTCAGGGAAGATCACAGAGATGGAAGAAAACAGAATGGAAATGGAGGTTAGTCCAATATGGTTGGATGTGGTGACCTCCAAGGTTCATTCCAACTACAAATAAATCTATGATAACTTATTAAGTGCCTAATATATAAAGTGTGCTCTGCTAGAAATAGAGGTTGGCGGGGGGGAGGAGAAATATGGAATTTTGATAAATACATTTGTTCCTGCAAAGAAGGAAGTAAAAGTCTAGCAGAGGGATGAGACGCCAACACAGGTAGCTAGAACACACAATGATCCCTCCCTTGGATGGGAGGTGATGGTGGTGAGGGAGATAGATGAATGCTGGATCCTAGGACAGATAATGCATGAGAAGGTGATGATGGGGAACTGGGTTCTAGTTTATGGAAGGGAAGAGAAAAGCCAAGATCTGAGTCTCCTTAGAGAACCAGGAATCCTGGGATGGTGTGATGGGCATTCAGAGGACTGAGGCTAGGGTGCTGGAAACAATTCATTGAGTGGTAGCATCAGAGAAGTCTTAGAAGGAAGACCTAAAAATATCACAAATAATGGGATCAAGGGAAGTTATTTGGAAGAGATATGTTTGAATTGAAGTTTAAAGGATAGGTTTGGCGACAGGAAGGAGGAAGAAATGATAGGGGAGATAATGGGAGAGACAAAAGGTAAGACAGTTTGACTAGAATATCGAGTATGTAGAGGGAAGGAAGGGGAGATGAGGCTGGAAAAGAAAGATGGCACTAGGATATGGAAGGCCTTGAATGATGGGAAAAGGGGAACCATTTAAAATCATGGCCAAAGATATATAGAAGGCTCCTGTGGGGTATGGGTAGAGATTGGGAAGGGAAAAATTATTCACAAGTGGGAATCCAGGAAGAATGCAAAGAGCACAAGAATTAGAGTCAAAGGTCCTGGGTTCAAATCCCAATTCTCACTGTCTGTGGGACCTAGGGCAAGATACTTAACCTGAGACCCACTTTTCCCATCAGCCAAATGAAGGGGTTGGACTGATGTCTAAGGTCCCTCCTGACTCTAAATCCTATGACTACATGATTTCCCTTCCAGCCCCACTAAGTGTTTCTTCTAGATCCAAATTCCTATTAGGTCTTTTTTAAACATGTGGTAGATTCTTAGTAGTATTTGTTGAACTCAATTGAATTTATGGAGCATTGAACTTACAGTCAGGAAGAGCTGGTCAAATCTAGCCTCAGATACTTACTAGCTCTGCGACCCTGGGCAAATCACTTAACTTTTGTCTGCCTTAGTTTTCTCATCTATAAAATGAAGAGGGTAAACCCAACAGTCTCTCTCATTAATGATCCTATGCGCCATGACAAGAGGCAAACTTCATCTCACCACCCCATCTCTTTATGAATTAATTCTTCCCTTCCTCTTCCTAGGGCGATTCTGGAGGACCCCTTGCCTGCAAATTCAACGACACCTGGGTCCAGATTGGGGTGGTGACCTGGGGCAGAGGCTGTGACATGCCTTTATTCCCTGGTGTTTTTGCTCGAGTTCCTTACTTCTCAACATGGATCTCAAGTACCATGAAATCCGTGGTCATCTCCAGATCAACAACCATTGTCAGTTCCTGGACAACTCTCCCAACTCCACTGCTGTTTCTCCATGTCCTGAGAATCCAATGACTGTCCCATCTGTCTTTCCTCCCTTCCTAGCATCTTTAGAAACCTTCCTTCTTCTTCCAAATCCCTTCTCAACTCTTACAGCTTCAACAAGACCTCCCTTCTTCTTTTCACTTCATCTGCCCTGTCTTCATGCTAACCCTCCCCTCTGCCTCCCCTGGATGGGAGGTGGTAGTAGTGAGGGAGATAGATGAATGCTGGGTCCCAGAACAGATAAGGTATGAGAAGGCGATGATGGGGAACTGGGTTCTAGTTTATGGAAGGGAAGAGAAAAGCCAAGATCTGAGTCTCCTTAGACAACTAGGAATCCTGGCTAGGGTGCTGGAAACAGTTCATTGAGCCTTAATAAGGACTGAGACTCCAATGATCTAATTAAAGTGTTGTAAAGTAGAAAGCAGTGGAGTTCTGCATTTGTCCTCAGGGCGGATGGTCTTATTTCCATGGACACCCAAGGGGTGTATCTACACCACAACATGGGAAAAACATAAAAAAAAAAAACCCAAACAAACAAACAAAAAAAAAACAAAGCATGCTGTTGAAGCCTATATTCTACAGCACGGAAGAATCTGTAGCTATACAAGGTCTTAGATCTCATTTAATTCAACCTCAATTCAATTAAATTCAGCAGCCATTTTTGGGAAAAAAAAATTAGAGTTTTATTGATGCCTTGTGTTTTGACATCACAGGCAGTCTGGACTATGTAGCTTCCCCCTTTCCTCCTGCCCCCTATCTAGTGAGCCTTCCTTTGTGATAAAGAAAAAGTTAAACAAAACCAGCTGACACAGTGAGTATATTTGACAGCATGTGCACCATTCAGCACCCAGACCCTTCCTCTTCACCCTGATTCAGAGGGAGGAGGAAGAGCATCAGTCATTTATGAAGCCTCTGCTGTGTTTAAGGTGCTGGGATCTGTGCTGAGATAGATGCAAAGTTTAGGTAAGACAAGGGCAAAGGTCTCATGGGACTTAAAACTGAACCCAGCCCACCTACTGCACCATCTAGCTAGCCACTGACAAAAAAAGTCACATAGTTGTTTTGAGGATCAAATGATATAATTAATACATGTAATTTTTTTTGCTTTGCAAATCTTAAATATATGCAATTGAATATATTTAAATGCAAATGCAAAACATAAATCTTATTCTTATTCTTCCTCCTCCTCCTCTTCCTGCTTCTCCCACCATCCTTTAGGGGAGGGAGCAGGACAGAGGACAGAGGACCAATCTCTTCCTATACTCAAGATGTCACGCTTTGTCTTCCCTGCCAAATATCTCACAGTGTGATGGATGGATTTATTGATGGAATTCAGCCCTGATTTCTTCCTATGGCATGGAGGTGACCCTGGGCTCTTGCAAACACTTCTAGGAGAGTAGAAACTTTAATGGGTCTTGCTATGTTGGAAAGATTTTGGGTATGGGTCTAGTAACATACCATTCATGTACTTTCCAAGAATTACCCAGCTAAGTGGAGGAGGGAACACCACCAGAAGGTCAGCCATTGAGTATGAATTTTTTTGGCTACAGTGATTCGTGAAGCCCAACATGTCTAGGGGTTGCAACCTGCTTGTTGAAGGAACCATTCCTGCCTCTTCCTCCCCTGCCTCAGCCCGGCCCCATAATAGGCCAATTCTCTTTGAAAGGCATATCTGCCTAGATGAATCATATAGATTCTTGAGTTCCTGAGATATTGATGACTTCTCTTGGTTAGTTACCACCAACATGCCTATACACTAGGGGAACCAACTTCACTAGGAGAATTAAACAATTTATGTGTCTTTTTCTATGGGCGGCCTACCTTCCCCCATTAGACCAAGGTCTTTTTCATCTCCCCAGAGCAGAGGCTCCCCCCTAGGGGGAGAAACTGAGTTTCTATCTTCTGAAGTAAATATTCCTTTGTAAAAGGTCCAGGGTTACACACAGAAGATATAATTACCTAATCTTCAGAAGATATAATTATATCTTATATATATATATGAAGATATATAAGATATATTATACAACATATAAGAAGATATAATTACAAATAAACACATGGGAGGCATAATCCTCCTCCACCTTTGTACCACCTCAGTTTCTGGGGAGGGGAAGATAGTTAGGTTCATAGCTTAGCTCGGTTCCCATAGAACACAATCTAGTTCCAAGTCCAAACCCTGCTTTGGACTGGAGTCCCACACATCCTGACTTCTCAGGGCTTCCATAGAAGCCTGGCTGGCTGTACTCCCTGCAATCCTGACTCCAAGGTCATCATGGCTCAAACTCCAGTCCTGTGGGGATGACCTCTAGCACCTGAAACTGAGGAGGGCAAACAACACAGGATGGAAACACACACTACCAGACCCATTTCTCAGAGCTGAGGTAAAAGAGAGGTAAGCAGGGGGAGGATTTTCCTTCCCCTCTCATTGGTTTAGTTCATGGCATCCATCCTGGGTGAAGCAGCTGAAAAAGATGGTAGAAAAAAGAGTACAGCCCGAAGAGAGCAAACGTCTCAGTCTTCACAGTTTTAAAGACACAGGCAGCCGGTCGAAGGAGGCTACCCCCAGCCATGTGGTAGCGGACACATCGGGCTCCATGTTAGGCCAACTGAGCATGCTACTCAATCATGTTTCTGAAAGAGGGGTGGGAGGAGACAGACTTGATGTAGTAGATGTGAGGCAACCACCAGTGAGGATAGACGGTTCCTCATGAACCAGCTCCTTCATCCTTCAGACTGAGTTCCTCATCTGAAAGTTAAAAAGAAACAAACAAACAACTTTAGGGATGTCCTCTGCTCTGAGTGGCAAGGTAGCTCAATAGATGATGGCCTGAAAGTAGGTGTTTAGGGGAGGATCCCACACCATATTCTTGCTTAGCTCAGGTTTTACAGTGTTTTGGTGGAGGAGTCTGCCTTCAGCCCCAGCTTCCCCATCACTTCTCCTAGACGCTTTCTGAAGGGTGAGTTCAGGGCTAGGAAGAAGCTAGGGGAGGAGGAAGCTAGTTATTGGGGGTGGGTGAGTATGATGACTACTCAGGATAATTAGATTGTCATCAGAGACCTAAGGAGTGGGATCATAACATTTCATGGAGCCTCAGAGTTAGAAGTGATGTCAGTGGAAACCTAAGCCAACCTTTATCTCGAAGATAGCCCTCACTACAGCACACCCGGCATGAGGTGGTTCAGATTTTACTCAGGAATGTAGAGGGGCATTAATCCAACACGGCATGAGGAGCTCTGAGATCCCCAGCACTAGACAATTCTCTAGAGTGAGGGCCCTGAGGTCCCCAGGAGTAGGGGGCTTCTACAGCATGAGATCTCCAGGACAAGAGAGTTCTCTAAAGAGGGCGCCTTGAGGTCAGTCAGTTAATAAAGACTTATTAAGTATCTACTATGTTCCAGGCACTGTGCTAAGTCTCAGGAATATAAAAAGTGGCAAAAGACAGTTTTTGCTCTCAAAGAACTCAGTCTTATGGGGGGAGGAGAAAATAAACAAACTATAGGATAATTAACAAAGAGAAGTCACTAGAATTATAAAAGGGGTTGGGAAAAGTTTCTTGTAAAGTATGGGATTTTAGTTGAGACTCGAAGGAAGACAAGGAAGGTAGGAGGCTGAGGTAAGTAGGAAAGCATTCTAGGTATAGGGGACAGGCAGAGAAGATGCCTGGAGCTGAAAGATGGGGTGTCTTGTTTGTGGGTCATCAAGGAGGTCAATGTCACTGAGTTGAACATGTATTGGCAAGTAAGGTGAAAGAAAAATGGAAAGGTAGGAGGGGGCTAGGTTATGAAGGCTTTTGAATGTCAAGCAGAAGATTTTGTTGTTGGTCTTGGAGGCAATAGGGAGTTTGTTGAGTGGTGTGTGTGTGTGTATGTGTGTGTGACATGCTCAGATCTTCACTTTACACTTTAGTGGCTGAATGGAAGGTGGACTGGAGTGGGGAGAGACTTGAAGCAGGCAGACCCACCAGCAGCAGGCTATTGCAATAGTCCAGGTGTGAGGTGATGAGGGCTTATACCAGAGGAGTGAAGGGGATGAATTCAAGAGATATTGCAAAGGTGAAATTGACAGGCTTCGGGGACAGCTTGGATATGGAGGGTTAGAGATAGTGGGGATTCCAGGATGACTTACAGGATGGGAGCCTGAGGGACTGCGAGGATGGTGTTGCCCTCCACAGTAACAGAGAGAGTAGCAGTCTGGGGGAGCATCTGGGGGAAAGATAATGAGTTCTGTTTTGGACATGTTGAGAGTTTCAGATGTCTACTGGACATCCAGTTCAAGATGTCTGAAGGTTGGGGTCAGCAGAGAGGTTGGGGCAGGGAAGACAGATTTGAGAATCATCAGCAAAGAGATGGTAATTAAATCTATGGTAGCTAATGAGAAGTAGTATAGAGGGAGAAGAGAAGACAGCCAAGGATATAGAGAGTAGATACCAGGACTAGGGAGTTCTATAGAGAGGGGATCCTGAGGTCCCCAGGACTAGGGAGCTCTGTATAGAGGGTGCTTTGATGTAACCTGGACCACTCCGTGTTAGGTCAGAGGTTTCCCTAACCCACAGAGTGAAGGCAGTACGAATCCCCATGGTCACCCAAGTGTCAACTGGCAAAGTCAAGGGACAGTTGCTGGATCCTTCAGCTGACTCTTTTTCTTCCTTCCTTCTTTTCTTCCCTCCTTCCCACCTTCCTTGCTTCCTGCCTTCCTTCCTGCCTACCTTCTTTCCTTCCTTCCTTCCTTCCTTCCTTCCTTCTTTCCTTCCTTCCTTCCTTCCTTCCTTCATTCTTTCCTTCCTTTCTTCCTTCCCCTTCTCTCTCTTTCTTCCTTCCTTCCTTCCTTTTTTCTTTCTTTCTTTCTTTCTTCTTTCCTCCCCTCTCCTCCCCTCCCTTCTTCCCCCTTCCCCTTCCCTTCTCTTCCCTTCCTTCTCCCCTCCCCTTGCCTTTTCTTTCCTTCTAATACGTACAATTTGATTGCTTTGCTATTATCATTCTAAATTTTTTTTTAGCTCTGTTGGAGAAATTAACAGCTCCATTAAAAGTGTATTTGTGTGCATGGCTTCTTTCCAACATTCATCATTTTCGTCTTTTGTCATTTTCGCCACTCTAATGTATATGAGATGAAACCTCATATGTGCTTTAATTTTGTTTCCCTTTTCCTTAGTGATTGGGAACATTTTCTTCAAGTGACTGTTGACTGTTTGCATTTCTTCTTTTGAAGACTGACTGTTCATATCTTTTCATAGTGCTTCTGTGTGTATGTATGTAATTACATAAATATAATATAGGTAACATATATCATGCATGATATACAATATCAGCTCTTTATCAGAGACCTGATACTCTTCCTAGTGGACAGTTTTCCTTCTTATTTGTGTTAAATTTGTTCTTTCAAAGCCTTTTTACTTTCATGTAATTGAAATTGTCCATTTTGTATTTTATGATTGTCCCATCACT